GCCGTCTAAGTGGTTCCCGCCCACACATCTCTAGCACACATGAGTACGAGTACCTCTCTGTCCCGCGCTCTGTGTCTTGATTTGCCAACAATATACCTACAATCTCTGTCCCGCTCTCGTGAATGTGGCCAACGAACTCGACCGTCCACCCCTGAGACGGATCACGCACGCGGTCCGAAAATGGAGCGGAACGCTGAAAACGGCATACACAAGGAAGTGGGGGGGGAAGGGATTCTGGACACAGGAATGCCTCAGCAGCCTCTTACAGAAGATTGACACGCCGGACCTCTCCAACAGCGACAGACGGAAAGCGTTACTAGAGGAGTGTGAGACACAGATCGGGAAGGCGACCTCCGAGTTCCTCGACTGTGAGGTGGAGAGAGGGCAGAAATTGACGGAGAAGATGGAAGAAGTGGTCGTCGAACTGCACGGCAACGTACACATCGCGGTATTCGACATCGTACACACCGAGTCAGGAAGGAAGGCGAGGGGGGGGGAGCTTAGAGCAATGTACGTCGAGGGAGAAGAAGAGGTGACATGCCCGAGAACCAAGCAGAAGGTGAAGAAGCGAAAGGTTGTCCGAGGGGGGGCAATCCGAAAGGCGGCAGCGGAAAGGGGAAGGGAGATTAATAAGAGGCGAGAGGTTGACATGAAGGCGGTAGAAAAGCTGCTAGAGCTGACCCAACCCGAGACGGGGGGACAACCCACATCGAGCGAGGGGACGGAACGACTGAAGGAGGAGGTACTCACGTGGGCGGCGTGCGAGAAGGCCATAAGACGATTCAAAAAGGGCAAGGCGGTCGGCTCGGACCTACTCGACGGATACCTACTGCGCATAGCAACGGAGGACATTCAAAGAGACTACTGGCGCCTGCTGGTAGAGATTGTCGAGACAGAAGCGTATCCGCGGGAATGGAATGACTGGATTGCGATGCTAGCGATGAAGCCGGGGGAGGACCCGAAGGAGCTCGAACGAAGGCGCGACCTCTGGGTCCAGCCACAGTCGTTAAAAGGTCTCATGCGAATGCTCCTACCCGAATATGATAGAGCATGCGCGAGAGTGGTCCCCGGCTCGCAATGCGGCTTCACAGCTGGAAAGAATGCGCCAGCGCAGACACTCACCGCACGTCTGCACGCAGAAGAGTGCATGATAGAGCGAAAGATGTGCGTAAGAGGATACATCGATCTCGGGACCTACTTCATGAGCGTAGTGCACGAGGTGCAATGGAAGGTGGAAGAATGGGCGGGGGTGCCGCCCGACGTGACGACTGTGATGAGAGCGCTAAGGGAGGGACTTGGGGAGGAGCTCCCAAGCCTCCAAGGCAGATACGAGACGGGCTATGGACTGAGCGACCGATTCCCCATCGAACAAGGCCTCGGCCAAGGGTGCCTCCTTTCGCCCGCACGTAGCAAGCTCATGCTAGCCGTGATGCAGCGAACAGTCAGCAAGCTGTGTAGAGGATTTGAATTCACAGCGGCGGGGGAGAACGTGCCGCAGCTGGTTTATGCCGACGACGGCCTGTTCCTCAGCAACGACATAGCCACGATGCAGCTAGCGCTAGAGTGCGCCTGGTTAGTGACAAAGATCTGTGGCAACAGCCTCCAGGTCAAAAAGAAGAAGAAATCGGCATGGTCAGCGACGTACTGGGAGAACAACGAAGAGCGGGATGTCGAGGGCTACGAAATGAGGATGCCGGATGGCATGCCGATACCACAGCTGAAGGGAGACGAGAGATACAAATACCTCGGAACGGAGCTAAGGACCGGGTGGGCGAACGGCGAGGGCCAGACGGAAATGAGGGAACGGTGCGTAGCTGACTGCAAGAGAGTAATCTGGATCATAGGCAACCTGCCGCACTTGACAGGAGAGCAGATCCGACGCAACATGGCGCTAGCACTGAGCGGCATTATCGGCTACTACGGCCGGTCCACGGTCATCACATGGGAAGACTGCCAGAGCATTGAACAAGTGAGGGCGAGCGCCCTAAACGCAAAAGGGTACCTTCTCTTGAACAAGTTATTTAGGAGCACCCCCCTACCGCCACCCAGTACGTGCTCCGCAGCTGAGCCCACGCACCCCACAGCAGCTCAGGGACACAATGAGCTCGCATGCAAGTGATGGTACGCACAGCTCGACGCGTACTCGAATGCTACCACTGTCATTCTAGCCGGCGAGCGGCGGCGTCACAGCGTCGACTCTCGCATCGCGATGTGACGCACTGCTTGCCCAGACGCGCGCCTTGGCGCGCTCCTGTGGTGCAGGAGGAAGGCCAGCGGTCATGCTGCGCAGACCCGGCCGTCTGGCTGAAGGGAGCAGCAGCTGTGGCGCTCAGCAGCGCTGCTGGCGAGCAGCGCAGCCACACCACACTCCCGCCGAGCCACGTGTCATTTCGCGCCAAGATTTGGCGCCAAAATGGCACTTTAGTGTCCACCTAGCCACGTGGTCGCGGCCTGAAGCTCCAAGCTTCTGGGAGTGAGGTCCCACATCACAGGGCTCCATTTGACTCAGTTGGTGGCACCGTCCAATCGTTCGCCGATATCCGAAACCGGGGTGCTCCTAAATAACTTGTTCAAGAGAAGGTACTCGGTAGGAATCCCACGACTACAAATATACGATGTGAAGGAGAGAGGAGGGATGGGAATGGAACACGCGTACACGTACGCAGCGGCGGCGCTGATCGATCAAGTGGACCGGGCCCTCAGCGCGGTGGAAGGGGAACCAGCGAGGGTGGCAGTGGAGAGCAGCCTAGCGCACACTTTGAGGAGGCTGGGATGCCGAAGTGACAACCCGCTGGAGTGGAAGCCGAGCTGGGACTGGGAAAGGGAGCTCTCGGACGAACTAATGATCGAAGCATATCTAAAGGCAAAATGGAGATGTGGGGTGGAGACGGTCACGACAGCGGAGGCAGCCTCGATGGCCATACAGACATGGGTGCGAAACAACGACAAGACCAAGGCACGGGCAGAGGAACGAGAGAAGAATATAGGGTGGATAAAGCGCCTGTTCACGGCATGGAGGGTGAGCCACACCGAACGTACCGAGCGAAGAGCCGAGCGGAAGGAGGACGGGGAAGATGACTCAGAGGAGGACGAACCAGTGGAAATCCAGTTGTCAGATGTCACGATGCATCCGAAGGGGACCCCAGCGCCGGCATCATCCGTAGAGGCACGAGTGTTCGAAGAGAGAGTGGACCTGAGCAACGACATGACTTGGAGGCAAATGATCGGAGTGGGAGTCAGAAATGTGGTCCTTGCGCGAGGGGAGCTCGATAGACTCGAGGGGCCAGGATACGCCGCGAGGAGGACGGAGTTGCGCCGAAAGGCAAAAGAAACCGCGAGAACAAGGGACCGGCAGGCGGCGGCGTCACAGGACGAGGCAGAAGAGAACGACGCGACAGAGGAGGAAATGACAAGGGAGAGAACGACGAGAGTGGGACGACCGCGAGGTGGCATGAAGGTTGCAGCGAGAAGCGGCGAGAGACTGCGAAGAGAGATAGGAAGAGGCAGACTCCCTAGGGTGGGCGACGGCTAGCGCACCACACACCTCTCCTTAAAATCCCTGTGTGGTGGCGGCGTGCCGTCCTCCCATCCCTCCCTTGGGTTGTCTGCTTTGTTTCTTTGTTTCTTTCTCGGGCACAGCCTTTGCACCGAGCGGATCGTTCTGTTGTCCCGTGCGTGTCCCGTGTCTGTGCAGTCTCGTCCTATTTCATCTATGACGGAGAGAGAAGCCTCCATCGCGTGCCGCTCACATGCTGACACACCGCCGGTACAATCCCCGTTCGCACGCTGTGTGCCACATCCCTGCCCGCGCTGACCGCGCGAGCGTGCAGTTGGTGCGAGCATCGGCGCCGCCGCAGTTGAGCAGCGCCGACTCGCGGCTGCATCGGCAATGGCCCTGGAGCTGGCCGCCACTGTCCGCGGGCGCGCTCGTGGGCGGGCGACCCGTCGCGCGCATCGCGAGCGGCGGACATGCGCCTCCCACCCTCACCGTCATGCACTTGCCGCGGCAGACGACCATCTCTGGACGGCCGTTGAAGTGCGAGCGCGCCACCTGGATCGAGTCATACCCGAGGCGCTCGGCGAGGAAGCAATAGAGCTTGTCGCCAGGCGGAGCGGTGCAGAAGCCGCCGTCGGCGCACGGGATGCCCAGCTGCGCGTGCACGTCGCGGCGGCTGGCCGCGCGCAAACTGCGGCCGGCGTTGACCATGATGCCCGAGCCGCGCACCAGATAGAACCAGCAGCCGTACGGCCAGCGCGAGCGACTCGAGGCGGCGGTCGGGTGGAATCGGTAGGCGAGGGCGCCCGCGTCGCCCGGCCAGCCCCGGTTGCGCCCCTCGGTGAATGGCACGCCGTCCGCGTATCGGAGAGAGCCATTCTGCGGGCCGGTGATGCAGGCGGTGCTCACCCGGGTGACCTCCGCCCAGCCATGATCCTCGGTCAGGTCCGCCACGCCAAGCTCGGGCATGAGCAGCGCGATCGGGGCAACGGCGGCGATGGCCGCGGCAGCCGGCATGCGAACGGTGGGCTGCTTTCGCACCCGCACCGACCGTGCGTGACCCCGAAACGCGAGAGAGTAGCGGCCCGGCGAGCGCCCGCCGTAAAGAGGCACAGTGAGAGAAAGATGACTTTCATGGACTGTCTACAGACCATGCAACGTACTTCCCGCCAAGATGTTGGAGTCTCGGTCCAGCCCTTCGAGACCTCGCTGCAACAGCTGGGACGTCGTGTGAACGCTCTCTTGCTACTTGCAGTTCGGTCCGTGCATATATCGTACACGTACTGCACAAGTGACAAGATGCTCTCACATATTGTTCTCACATATTCGATATTGTATCATTCACGTTTTCGTTTTCGTTTTTGCTTTTGCAGCTGCTTCTTGCGCCGCAGGGGTCCTTTTGCTTTTTTTGGGGGTTGTAACGCCGGTGCGCGGGCGCTTTTGTTTTACGTATTACGATAACACGAAACACCTTCTCATCTGCGCCGGCCTGTGACGCTGGCAGTCAGTCCAGTGCGGCGCTAAACTCTGAGACTGCATTGTGAGCCTCCCGCCTTCTCTGCGCCGCGCCGTCAGCCGTGCTCCGCTGCTCCTTCAGGGCGCGCTGCGCTCCGCCCGCTCCGCTACCCTGCTTGCCTCCGCCCCCCTTGGCCTTGCCACCACCGCTGTACGCTGCGAGCTGATGCAGGTGCGACGGCTTGCGCCGCTTGGCAGCGGCGCTTGGCGCCACCTGCCGCCGCTTGGCCTGCTGCCTCGAGATGAGCGAGGGCGTCTCTTGCAGCGCAAAAGACTTTGCGAGGTGGCCGAGGTGGAGCTGCGAGACGTGCAGCACCCTCTTCTCCGCCTTGGAGTGCGCAGAGTAGGCGCGCAGGAAGGACTGGTACGCGCCGGCCGCGAGGCCGTGCAGCAGCGGCTCCGTGGCCACGGTCGCCTCGAGCTGCTTCTGGAGGGCGAGCTCCGTCATGTAGACGTCGCGCGACGTGGCGTTGCGGCCGCACAGCGCCTGCTGGACCGACGCGAACTTGAGCTCGTCGAGCGAGACGCCGGCGCCCTGCAGCAGCTCAAGGTAGCCCCGCTCGCTCGGCTGGAGGAAGAGGAGGGCGCGGCCCTGCTGGCCGAGCCGCGCCGTGCGGCCGACACGGTGGACGTACTCGGAGTGGTCCTGCGGCGGGTCGTACTGCACCACCCAGTGGACGCCATCCAGATTGAGCCC